AGTCATTGAAGCCAGGTCAAGTGGCTGGTTGGGTATTTTCCTCTTTTTCTATGACTTCCCACTTTAGCAAGCATAATACCCTTCTCCAGGGTCTGGTCCCTCCTGATATCTTCACAGTATGAGAGACGAAGTCTCCGCATCCTGGCTTCTAAGGAGCATTCTGGCTATACTTCTTTAAACACAGATTTGTTTATTTTTTTAACATTTCATGATACTTCTAATATTCTTTTTAAACACTGTAACTCAAATACTTCAATTATTTTATGGTCTTCCTTATTCATTGGCCAACTTTCACATGCATGTGAGGCTACTGAAAATACTAAGGCTTGCATCAGGCACACCTTAGTTCTCAAACTGACATCTTTACTCTTGAACACTTAAAAGAGGTCTTGTGCAGCAGATTTGCCTAATGCAATATATCATTTGATTTATTGACTACTGCTTCCATGATTGTTGATGGTGGGCCCAAGCAAAATGAAGTTTTTGACAACTTCAATCTTTTCTCCATTTATCTTGATGTTATTTATTGGTCAAGTGAGAGGATTTTTGGGTCTGGGATCATCATCAGTATTTTACGTCCTCTTTGCTTTCTGCAAGCAAGGTTGTATTATCTGCAATTACAGCTTGTTAATGAGTCTTCTTCCAATCCTAATGCCAATTTTTTTTTCATAGAATCCAACTCTGTGGAGTATTTGCTTGGCAAACAGAATGAATAATACAGTGAAAGAATCTAACCGTGGCTCACAGCTTTCCTTATTTTAAACCATTCATTATCCCCTTGTTCTGTTTGAATGACTGCCTCTTGGTCTATGTACAGGTTCCACGTAAGCACAATTAAGTGTTCCGGAATACTCGTTCTTTGCAATGTTGTCAGTAAGTCATCATAAATCACACAGTCGAAAGCCTTTGTGTAATCAGTAAAGCACAGGTAAACATCTTTCTGGTATTCTGTGCTTTTAGCCCAAATCCATCTGACGTCAGCAGTGCTATCCCTCGTCCCACATTCTCTTATGAATCTGGCTTGAGCCTCTGGCAGTTCCCTGTCAGTGGACTGTTGCAGCCGGTTTTTGTTACCTTTAGACTTGGCATGTAATAGTAATGATATTGTCCGATGATTTCTACTTTCTGTTGTGTCACCTCTCTTTGAAATGGACACACATATGGATCTCTTCCAATCAGTTGTCCAGTAGATGTCTTTCAAATTTCTTGGCATAGACGAGTGAGTGCCGCCAGTGCCGAATCAGTATGTTGAAAGGTTTTAATTTTTATTCTTTCATTTCTTGGAGCCTTGTTGTTTGCCAAAGCTTTCATTGCACTTTGGACTTCTTTCAGTATCATTGGTTCTTGATCATTTGCTATCTCTTAAAATGTTTGCACATCGACCATTTATTTTTGTTACAGTGACTCTGTGTATTCCTTCCATCTTCTTTTGATGCTTTCTGCATCATTCAATGTCGTGCCCATAGAATCCTCAAAAATTACATGTCGAAGCTTGAATTTTTTCCTCAGTTCTTGCAGCTTGAGAAATGCTGACTTCCCTTTTGTTTTTCTAACTCCAGATTTTTGCACCTTTTCTTATAATACTTGATTTTCTTTGAAATTTTGTAGCCAGCTTTTTTTTCTCCTCTACTTTTATTTGCTATAGCATCTCTACCCTGGAGAGCAAGTTTCAGAGTGTCTTTTGACATTCATTTTGATCTTCCTTTTTTTTGTCTTAATGACTGTTTTCTTTTTTCCTGTATGATATTCTTGATGTCATCCCACCATTCTTTCTGGTCTTCAGTCATTAGTATCTAATGCATCAAATCTATTCTTGAGATGATCTCTAAATTCAGGTGGGATGTGTTCAAGGTATATTTTGGCTCTTGTGGATTTGTCTTAATTTTCTTCAGCTTCAGCCTGAATGTACATAAGAATAATTGATGATCTGTTCCACAGTCAGCCCCTGGCCTTGTTTTGCCTAATGATACTGAACTTCTCCACCATCTTTTTCCACAGATGTAGTCAATTTGATTTCTTTGTATTCAGTCTGGTGAGGTCCATGTGTATAGTCATCTTTTAAGTTGTTTAAAAAAGTTATTTACAATGAATAAGTCATTGGTTTTATAGAATTTTATCATGCAGTCTGCAGCTTAATTTCTATCACAAGACTTTCTTTTCCATCTGCTGATCCTTCCTCTTTGTTTCCAACCTTTGCATTCCAGTCATCAGTCATCATCAATACATCTTAATTACATGTTTGATCAATTTAATAATGAAGAAGTTGGTAGAATTCTTCAATTTTGTCATTCCTGGCTTTAGTCGTTTATTCGTAAATTTGAGTAATAGTGGCATTAACTCGTCTTTATTTGTAGTTTTATGGATACTATCCTATCACAGACAGTATTATATTTCAAGAAACATCTTGAGATGTTCTTTTTGATTATGAATGTAATGCCCTGCCATTCCTCTTCAATTTGTCTTTCCCAGCATAGTAAACTATGTGATTGTCAGATTCAGAATGGCCAGTAACCGTCCATTTCAGTTCACTAATGCCTAGGATATCGATATTTATGCTTTCCCTGTAGTTTTTGACAATTGCCCATTTTCCTAGATTCATACTTTGTGCATTCCCTGTTCTGAATACTAATGGATGTTTACAGCTGTTTCTTTTCATGGTGCATCATCATCAAATAAAGGTCTTAAAAGCTTTACTCCATTCACATCATCATGGTCGACTCTGCTTTGATGGGGCAGTTCTTCCCCAGTCCTGTTTTCACCGCCTTTCAGTCTGAGTGGCTCATTTTCTGGCACTATATAGGACAATGGAGTTGTGGTGTGATGCTCTGGGTTAATGCATTGGACTGCAAAGCCGTTTGGACTGCAAGATCAGTGGTTCAAGTTCACCAGCTGCTCCTCGGAAACCCTATACAGGGTTGCTGTGGGTCGGAACTAAGTCGATGATACTTAACAACAACAACATATGGGACAATATTCTGATTTTATTCATTATGATTCATTATTCAATATTCTGGTGCCATCTGACAGTGTTCTACTGCTATTCATAAAATGTTCAATTCATAAATGTTCAGAAGTCGTCTACTTCTCCTTCTTCCTGATCTGGAAGCTCACCTGAAACTGTCTAGCATCAGTGACCCTGGTGCTATCGAATGTACTGGTGGCATGGATTCCCTCATCCCAGCAACACACAAGCACTGCAGCATGGCAAACTGACTGATAAGTGGTGATCTGTGTAATCATCTATGTGGTCTCCCTTTAAAACATTAGGAATGTAGAAGTGGTTTTTTTTGTTGTTAAGAGCTGCCAAGTCTGGTCTGACTCATATTAACACTGTATAGGGTTTCCAAGACTAATTCTTTGTGGTAACAGAAAGTATCTTCATCTATCTTTCTCCCTGGAAGCAGCTGATAGACTCGAACCACCAACCTTGTGATTCAGAGTCTGGTGCCTACCCTATAGAGCCATGTTCTCCTACTTAGGAAAGTAAAGAAATACATATTTCCAAAGTTATGTATTTCCAAATTTAGCTCTCTTTAACAGTGAGATATGGGTATGCCACATGATAACTGTCAAGTTGCCTTGACAGTGATTATTCTAACTTACTCTCCCAGCAACATTTTATGAGAATTTCCATGTCCTCCTATTGTTATCAGGGAGCCCTGGTGGCTCAGTGGGTGTAAGTGTTGGATTGCTAATTGTAAGACTGATGGTTCAAACTCACCACAGTCTCGGCAGGAGACAGATGAGATTTTCTGCTCCCACAAAGACTTGAAGTCTCAGCAAGCCTGTAGGATTGCTGGGTGTCTGAGTCGACTCCATGGCAGTTGGTTGTATTGGTTGTATTGTTATCAGGGCTGGGCTTTGGGCTTTAGCAATCACTTGTGTGTGTGGTAGAAATGTATGTAGCATAGTATTTGCCATTTCAGCACAGTTTTCCACATGAAACTGAGTGCCATTCTTTATGTTCACCATGTATTCAGCCATCACCACTCTCCCTTTCATTTTTGTGAGTTTAGTAAAGAAAAAATAATTGTTTTAATCAATATTTACTGACTTATGAATGAGATTAAGCATATGTTTATATGTTTATTGGTAATTTATTTTTTACCAACTTGCCTTTTTTCTGTTGGGTCATTTTGGATTTTTCTTAGTAACTATTGTATTGACTGCCTTGCTACTTGTGAATCCAAAAAGGTTTTTTTCATGCTCTTATTCCTTTGTCCTACTACTCCCAGTAAATTGCATCTAATCCTACTATAGGTCTGGATATAAGTATTTAACTGTTACTATAGTCCTTTTTCCTTCTTTTTATTTTTTCTATGTGCATTTGCTAATCTGGATTATTAACATTAGTTTATCAATGTAGAACTCAAGGTTAAAGCTATCCCTGGCTACTTATATGTTGTTGTTGTGTGCCATTGAGTTGGTTCTGACTCAGTGCTTCTATATAGGGTTTCCCTGGAGTGGCTGATGGGTTTGAACCACTATCTTTGTGCTTTAGCAGTTCAGTGCTTGTTGTAGAACACCACACCAGGACTCCAGAATTACTTAGTGTCTTGCAAATTTAGCCTCATAGCCAATTAGTCAAATCTTTCCGTTTTTGAGGAAAAAGAAAAGGAGTATCGTATCTCTCCTATTTTTTTTTTCATATGCACATTTAATAGAATGAATTTGTTTCTATCAGATTGAACTGTTTGAAGACCATGGTTACTGAAAATCTGGAGGGAAATAAATACATCACCCACATGGATTTGCGAGACAATCAACTGACTGACTTGGATCTTAGCTCTTTATATGGTTTGGAGCAGCTGCATTGTGAGCGGAACCAGCTGAGGGAACTAACACTCAGTGGCTTCTCCCTTCGAACCCTCTATGCTAATTCGAACAGTAAGTCTCTATCCATCCTCCTGCTTTTCTATTATAGCTCTATTCAGAACTTTCTAAGAACAGTAATGTCTGTGGTGCTCCTTTGACACTCTGCAAAATGGAGTTTGAGGTTCTTTGGGATTTGCTGTTAACTTAAAAGTGGTTGAGATATGTTAAAAATACATGGAAAGATACTTTCAGATTCACTTAGTGAACATATTAAGATGCATTTTGCAAAATAACATAGTTGGGGGCAAGAGGTTCAAAATGAAATGCCTTTAATAGTCTAAGCCAGGGGTTGTCATATTATAGCCCTTGGGCTCCAAGCCATTACTTGTTTTTGTATGACCTATGAATAATACTTTTACATTTTAATGGCTGTGAAAAATATCCAAAGGAGAGTAATACTTCATAACTTGAAAATTATGAAATTCAATATTTCATGTGCATAAACAAAGTGTTACTGGAACATTGTCTCACTGTATTTCTGTCACGCTTCTCATGCTACAGTGGCAGAATTAAGAAGTTGTATGAGAGACCATATGACCTACAGAGCTTTCAATATTCACTGTTCAGGGGCCCTGGTGGCTCAGTGGGTATAAGCATTTCATTGCTAATTGTAAGGTTGGTGGTTCAAATTCACCAGAGTCTCCACAGGAGAAAGGTGAGACTTTTCAAAAAAATCATTGCCGACGCCTAACAGTATGTACTGCTTCATTCCTATAATTAAAAGATCCTCATTTTAATAGGATTTTGCTCTGTGAATGTTTTCCTACATAAGACCTCATAACTATTACAAAATGGACCAAATTTTAAAACACAAAAATAATTGTCTTCTTAGGTGTAAGTATCCAATGACAGCATAAAGGGATGCTTGCTGTTATTGTTAAGTCCTATGGAGCCGGTTCCATCTCATAGCAACCCTGTCTAGGACTTCTGAGGTGCAGCTGCTGGGTTTGAATGGATGGTCTTACAGTTAACTGTTCAGTATTTATCCTACAGCATCATGTGATAAAAATCAACTTCAGGATGGTGATTTTTAAAGTACTACAAATACCAAGTGGTATTTGTAGTACTTTAATTGTTTAAAACAAACAAACAAAGATTTGCTAAAGCTAGATGATGGGTAGAGAAGTGTTCATTATTTTATTTTTATATTCTGTATTTGTAAAATGTATAATTAGAATAAAAGAAAGTTAGGACTTCTGATTGTGTCATAGAAGTTTCCATTGTAGCTTGTATCAGTAGTTTAGATCAAAAAACATAGTGTCAAAACTGATGAGCGTTACTTTATAATGTTTGTAGATTTTGAGTGGTGTTAGTAGGTTTTTACCAATGAAATACTTACCATTGGGCTGATGCTCTATTTTTAATACATCTAGAGAATCTAAATCACTGCCCTAGGGGGAAAGATCTTGTTGAGATACATGCAGTCCTTCTTAGTAGCCAAGATTCTTATCACGGTAATATACAAGGGTGAGTCAAAAATTATCCATACTCTGGTTACTTTAAAAGCCCGTCCACATCTATGGCTGTTGACAACATTAAGCATGCATGTGAAATGATTCTGTTGAATCGTCAGTGGCTTATGTGGCAAATCATTTGCAAATCAGCAATGGCTTTGCCTATGAAATGATCCCTGACAGACTTGGGTTTCAGAAAGTTTCTGTGAGATGGGGTGCCGAGACAGTTCGTTGAAGGGCAAAAACAGAAGTGTTTGCACATCTGCAAACAAAATTTGGACCAATACTGAAGGAAAAGTTTTGTTTTGTTTTTAATTGTTTCTGATAATGAGACATGGATTCATCACTACTAGCCTGAGGGTAAACAGTAGACTGAAATGGAAGTGTCTTCAATTGCCGACCAAGAAAATGTTCAACAGTACACCCATCATGTACACTCGCCCACAAAAAAAAAACCCCAAACCCAGAGGGAATAGAAGCAAATCCTGTTGTATGATGATTCACGGAGGGGATTGTAATCATTGCAATGAAACAGGTGTAAAACCGATGCTCTCCCGTGTAAACTATCACTCAATTCACAATAAATACTTAAAAAAAAAAAAAGTCAACCATCAACTGAAAAATTAAGGCTTACAGTTTTCTGGGATTTTCAAGGGCCAGCATTGGAACACTACCAGTAAAAAGGTTCAAAAATCAACAGTGCTCATTACAGTGAGATGCTCACTGAAGAGCTGAAGCCTGACCTTCAGATTAAATGCAGAGGACTGCTACCCAAGACGTTATGATCTTTCATGACACTGCACGTCTGCACGCCTCTGCCAGCACTGTTGGCACTCTGCAGAAACTTGGCTTTGAGGTGTTACAGCATTCTCTCTGTAGTCTTGAACTTGCTTTGTCGGTCTTTTCACTTATTTGGTCCCCTGAAAGCAGCCCTTCAAGGATGAAGATTCACCTCTGATGAAGAAGTGAAGACAGCAGTGCATTTATGGCTCACAGTTCAGCCTAAAAACAATTTTTTTAATAAGGGAATACGAAAGCTTACTCACAGGTGGACAAAATGTATTGAAAAGCAAGAAGATTATATTGAAAAATGATGTGTTTGTCTTTTTACAAGTTGATTAAAATAAATTCTACAGCCAAAGTGTGGTGCTGCACGATGATGCACTGGACTGAAAGGTGGACGAGGTCGGTGGTTCAAGCTCACCAGCCCCTCCTCAGAAACCCTGTACAGGGTCTCTGTGAGTCGGAACCAACTTGACGGCATTTAATAACAAAAAAAAAACAGCCCAAGTGTTTTACTCACCCTCGTACTAACTAGGGCTTATTATTACTTCGCTACTCTCTACAGAGTAGTCTATAAACCTGAAATCATTTCCATAAACACTTGTGGTGTAATGCCCTGGAAGTAAGGAACTCAACCTCACAAAATAGGTTATCCAAATGATTAATAAATATAGGAAGAGGTGCTCAATCGTACTGTTCAACAGGGAAAAAAAAAAAAAGCCCACCACCGTCAAGCCAGTTCTGACTCCTAGGGACCCTATACGACAGAGTGCAGCTCCTTAGGGTATCTAAGACTATAAATCTTTATGACAGCAGATAGTCTCATCTGTCTCCTGCAGAGTAGCTGTGGGTTTGAACTAACAACCTTGCAGTTAATACTTCAGTGCTTAACCCACTGTGCCACCAGGGCTCCTTATTCACTGTTTGTTGTTGTTAAGTGCTGTCAAGTCAATTCCGACTCATAGCAATCATGTATAGGGTTTCCAAGTAGCATTTGGTAAGTTTGAACCACTTACCTTGCAGCTCAAACTGACCTTGCTGTCCATCGCTTATTCTATAGTGCCACACTAGTAAGTGAAAACAAATTGAAATCCTTAAACTTCAGTACACACCTACCAGAAATGATGAGTGAAAAAGTTTGAAAATACCAATGTCAGATGTTGGAAGTGTAAATCGGTACAAACACTTTGAAAAACTGAAAAATACTTAAATGTCCATCAACTCTAAAATGAATAAATAAGTTGTGGTGTACTTATGTAAAAGAATTTTACCCAGCTATGAAAATGAATAAAAGACAGACAACATGCAACAATATGAACAAATCCCACAAATATAATATGGAGTGAATGAATCCGGAGGAAAAAATGTATATACCCATAACTGTGTATGTATACATTTATGGGGGGCACAGTAGGTCCACAAGATAAGCACAGGACTGAGAACCACAAGGTTGGTGGTTTGAACCCACCAGCCTTTCATGGAATTAAGATGAGGTTTTCTGCTCCTGGAAAGATTTTTAAAGCCTCAGGAACTCTATACGGGGTCACTATGAGTCGAAATTGACTCATTTAAGTGCCATCGAGTTGATTCTGACTCATAGTGACTCTGTATAGTGTTTTCCGAGGAGCGGCTGGTGAGTTTGAACTGCTGACCTTGCAGTTCAAAGCACCCTTTAGGTCCAGTGCTTATTCTATAGCACTATGCCAGAGCTTCATCCATTTATATAGACAGACTAATGTGTGCTGTCCTAGTGGGGACAGTGACTAGAAGGGAGGACAAGGCAAAATTATAAGGTAATAAACCTAAGTAATTACTGTTAACATTTAACAACTGCCTGATCTAGTGTAAAATCCATTGCAGTACATGGGTCTTTCAATTAGTTGTTATTTTATGTCAAATTGTGGTCAGGAAAAGAAGTTAAAAGTAGTCAAAGTGTTATCCAATAATTTGTGTCTTTAGTGTACCTCAGTAGATGGTAGCAATTTTATCTGTGGTGTTGCTACTAATCTACTTGCCCCTGTTTACTCTCAGTTACTGTCTTCTGTAGAGAAAATGTCACTAATACCTATTTGCTTTTTGATTAGGGCTTACAGCAGTGAATGTTTATCCAGTACCCAGTTTCCTCACTTCCCTAGAGCTTTCCCGGTGAGTATGTATCAGGAGGGTTGTGCTTGTTGGAGTTTAAGTGTTTGAGATGCATGAGGGTATTTTGACATTTTGAGGTATAAAAATCTAAATATGTTGATATGATTGGATAACTTTAAAAAGAGTTTAGGGATGAATGAGGGAGTATGTTTCATAGCCATATTATTACTGTTAAAGGAATGGTCCTCTTGACAACAGAAAACATAGTCCTCACTCTCTAGCCTTAGCATGAGATCCGTACAGAGAAGATCTGTTAACCCCTTAATTGTAGTGATTTTCCTGTTGTCAGTTGGAATCAGATAACTCTTGATTTTTAGATAGTGTCTTACTTTTTTTATTTTATTCTCTTTCCTTTGTTTATATTCTCTTGACCTATGTAAGTCTGAATTTTAGAGTTTTTTTGTTTTTTTTTTAATGTTCTGTTGGTGGTCAAGAGTAGCATTAATGAGGTTTGCTTTCATCCATTCATTCATTTTTAACACTATTAGAGGCCCTAAGGATCCAGTGCCTGAGTTTTGCGGTGTGATGGAGACTCTTTTGCTTGTACTTAAGTCTTACGGTCTGGTGGAGAATCTTGTAGAGAGAAAAAGCATCAAACAGTTACAGAGCAGCATCCTAAGTGCTGTGAGTCTGTGAGGATTAGAAACATATGAAGGGCCAGTGGGCAGGGTCATAGACACAGCAGCGTCAAAAAGTTCAGGGGGAAAAGTTCCATGATCTTCTAATTCAGTTTTCCTACAAATGTTTTGAAGCCCCCTCATATTGTCAGCTATGTTGAGAAGATTAAATGAAGTAATAAATAAAATACATTGTTGTTAAGTGTCGTCGAGTCAGTTCTGACCCATAGCGACCCTGCAGAGGGTTTCCAAGGAGCGGCTGGTGAGCTTGAACTGCTGACGTTGCAGTTCAAACAACTTTGCTTGATGCATTAACGCACAGCGCCACATAGACAACCATAAATCCTGGCACTTCATAGTTTCTCAAGATACATTAACTGCTGTAACCACATCTAATTCTGTTTCTATTACTTTATTATTGGGGAGCATAGTAGTTCCATAGGATAACTATTGGACTGTAAACCACAAGTTCATGGTTCGAGCCTGTTAGCCACTCTGCAGGAGAAAGATGAGACTTTCTACTCCTGCAAAGACATTTAAAAAAAAGCCTCAGAAGTTCAAACCCACTCGAAGGCACTTACCAACAACTTTCTTATTGTTTGATCATTCTTCTACATTCCTTTGCTTCCATTCTTTCTGTCATATCATCCCAGTACAACCCCAGCATGGATCCGGACCTTCTTGACTGAGCTTGAGCGTTGCTGAAGGATATATTCAAGTGGAAACCTGTTTCCAACCTCATCTTGTGCCCATTGATCCTTTGTCTTGTCAGCTCCTCCTTCCAATGTCCTCAGCTTGTAGTATAAATCCTTCTACTTCCTTAACCACAATGCCTTTTATCTCCTCCACTGAAGAGAAAATAGATGGAAAAAATAGAGCCTATCTTGGGTGATTTCCCTCAACTTCTGATTACCTTTTAAACCTATGTAGTGTTCAAGTTTTTTCTTCTGGTCAAGGCCATCATCTGTGCCTTTAATCCCATCCTCTCCCATTACTCTATTAGTCATCCTCCTCTTCCTCTGTTTGTCCTACTTTTTCTCAGTCTATTTGGATATTTAAGGTCTCTTTTAAAACATTCTCTACCTCACAAACCATACTGCCCAAGCCATATCATCCCCCTTTGGTCCAAAGGTCTCCAGAAGTATTATTAGCATTTCTTGGCTCAGTTTCCTGGGTTCCTGTTTGCTTCTTTTCCCATCACAGTTTGTTTTATCCTTCTCTTAGGGAACCCCTCTCTGTTTTCACTGATAAACCTGCTAGTTCCTTGGCTCATCACTATAATCTGATGTGATTCATGCTACTGGGACCATTCATTCTCTTTTTTTCTCATCTCCAGGACTGTGTCTTTGAACTACTACACTTCTGATTTGACGGGATCTCGTTTATTCCAGAAGTTTCAGCTACACTTAAGTGTCATTACCACCCAGATCTCCAATCTAGGTCTTCTTTTCGCAGTCTCAGACCCATGTGTCCAATACTAAACATTTACCACCTGCACATCCTACATGTACCACAAAAGTATATAATTGTTGTTGTTAAGTGCCAATGAGTCACTTCCAACTCATAGTGACCCTGTGTAGGGTTTCTAGGGAGCAGCTGGTGAGCTTGAACCACCAACCTTGCAGTTCAAAGCAACCTTGCAGTCCAGCGCATTAACCCACAGTGCCACACCAGGACTCCAAAATATATAATATGTGTGCAAAATCAGACTCATTATTTACCCTGCTCCTTGCCTTACGTTGTTTGTCTAGTGAAACCCATTTCAGCTTTTGGCATTATCATTTCCATGGTCATTCAGGCTAGAAACCTGGGTGTCATTGTTGATTCCTCTCCCTGCTCCACCCCCTATAGCTAACACATCTTCAGCTCCTTTTGATTTTTGCCTCCTCGATATTCTTGGAGTCCCATCTTCTCCCTTCCATCTACATTACCACTCTACTTACTTTGGTCAGTCTAATTTCTTGTCTGGACTTCTGCAACACTTTTTCCTGATTATTTTTCATTTTATCAAAATTACCCCCTTAATCAGCCCCATGTAGCACAGTGATCTACTTAAAGTGTAAAATTTACATTGTTTTCCCACTGCTTAGAAATCCTTCTGTGATCCTCCAGTACCTACAGGATAAAGTCATCCGTTTCTAAACATGAATCATGTCTGGTCCTCGTGTAGCTTTTCAGTCTTCTCTGTCTTAGCACTCTCTGTGCTTCATACTTGATGCTTCAGCATCACCAAACTGCTTCTTATTTATTCCCCACATACACCTCGCATTCTGTCTTGTTCTGTAGCCTAGCTCATGTTGTCATCTGTGGCCTGAAATGTCCTCCTCATCTCAGGTCAGTGTACAGCAGTCTTCAAATTGTAGCCTAGATGTCATCGTCCTTCGGAAGCTTGCCTTGATCCGTTTCAGGCAGTGTATTCGTTTCAGAAGACTATCACAGCAGTATCTGCCTTTCTTGTCGAGTGTTGCTTTCATCTTTCCTCAGTGTGGCGACACATACATAGAGACCTTGAGGCCTAGAGAAAGTTGGAAACATTTGAAAATAAACTTTCTTAACTCTTCAGTGTCCACCCACTACCCTACTAAATATTTTAGTTCACATTCTAAGTGGTTGAAACTTTCTGTGTTTTCCCATTACTGGTTATTCCCCCCACCCCAATAGTTTTACTCATTCTTTTTCCCCCCCAGAATTTGCTTCTCTCCTTCCACAGTTAAAATCTTAACTTACCTTGTAAGGCTTGTTTAAAATGCCATTTTTTCCATGACGTATGTATTCATGTTACTCTCCCCTAATCCCATAATGTGTGTGCTTTCCTACTAGTGAAAGCCTCATGATGTTTACCTTCTTGGAATTTGCGTCTCAGTCCAATATTAGAGATTCCTGTGCTCCTCTGCCCGACCCTTCTAATTCAACAACACCCACTGAGTACCCACTCTAGTCCAGGCTGTGTGCCAGGGAGGCTTGGACATAGTGTCCCTACCTGCAACGAGCACACAGGCTGGTCAATAAAACATTACAGTTCAATGTAATGAGTCCCACTTGTCATCTTAAACACTGCCATTTAATCATTTTCTTCAGAAACCTGCTAGAATGTGTCCCTGACTGGGCCTGTGAAGCAAAGAAGATAGAAATATTAGATGTCAGTTATAATCTCCTCACAGAGGTTCCCCTGAGGTATGTGGTGTATAAATGTATATATGGTATATATGTGTGTATATATGTAATGATCTCTCTAGATTTGAGTTACCTTTCAAAGGTACTTATGTTTATTTGTTCAATGAATATGGAGTACCTGCTGAATTAACGGCAGTGTGAGTGCTATAAGGACAACAGTAATGGTAACACATGGTCTTGTCCCTCAAGGAACTTAATAAGAGGGTAGGAGAGGTGACATGTACACAGATTACCATGATAAATGATAACCAGAGTTTCTGCCATAGGTTGGTGATAATAATAATAAGTTTTATTTGATGAGTTACTAGCTGGGCAGTGTTCTAAGAATTTCACCTAAAATTACCTTGTTTAATTCCAGAATGACTTTATGTTATAGGCATAGCTATCGCCATCCTACAGAGGAGGAAACTGTGGCTAAGTGTATTAAATGCTCAGGGTCGTATGTAACTAGGAAGTAGTGAGAGCTGGTATTTCCATGTAATCATTCTTACTTTGGAGCCTTCACTCTTAGTCATACATTGTATGGTTTAGAAATTCAGAAGAACTTTGAATAATACTTCATGGAGCCGAGGGTGGTTAAGTTGATCTTTACAGAATGGGTGGGATTTGTATAAGGGGGTGAAAAGAGAATACCACTGCATTCAGGGAAAAATTGAGATTCAGCAGCACCAAGCTTGAAAACTTGGTTATCACCTAAAAAAATCTTTTAACATTAAACCAGAGGCTTTGTAGCATAGTAGAAAACATAGCCTTTGGAATCCAGCATTTAAATTCTGCCTGCAGTAATACTTAATACGTTAAGTGGGAGATCATTGGCAGACCAAGGTCATTTAACCTTTCTGAACTTTATTATTCAATTGCCTAGCACATTTTAAGCACTCAGTAAATAATACTTTTTTATTATAATACATTTTGTTAACTGATGTATTATGTGAGTCACTTATATTAGTATTGATAAGTAATTACACTGTGCTTTGTCTAGTATCAAAATCTAAATTGATATAGTCTAAAAAAAAATGTTTTTTCAGTAGAATCTCTGCTGTTTGCTTTCATTAATTCATCTTTTCTCAAAATGACCTTAATGTCTTTCTTGAGGGTGGTGAGTATGGTCGAGGCTGCTTTCCTGGCTCAGGCACTTGTCCAGGACTATACTGTCATGAGGACTATGAAGTTTCTATGACATCACTGGATTCAGTGCAGTAGCCTAGGGCTGACTCAGAAGGAAGCATTCCAGTAAATTTCCTATTTGGTTCCTTGTACTGTTCCTCCATAGAATTCTGAGTAGCTTGAGTCTTAGAAAACTGATGGTGGGACACAACCATGTGCAAACCCTTCCTGTGTTGACGGAGCACATCCCGCTGGAGGTGTTGGACATTCAGCATAACTTACTCACCAGACTGCCAGATACTCTTTTCTCCAAGGCCTTAAAGTAAGTACTGCAGAAACTTTTTTTTTAGAATAGCTGAATCATGGTCTTGCATTGGAGTGCCCTTAGAACTATGTTTACAGTGTTTATCTGATCATTCATTTATAGTTGGAGACTTGTTTGTAATTTAAACAAAAGAGAATAGAATACTGGTTTTTGAGGTGGTAATCTTCAAAGCAAAGTTGAAAGATCCATCGGATACTGTAAAAGTTTTCATGTTGTAAACAGTTTCAAACAGGTTGGGAAAGTTCAGGCTTTCATCTCAGAAAATGAATACAGTTATGACCTTTAGAGAAAGTTAAGCATTCTGATACAGCTGCTGGAGCAATGTTCAACTTTTGCTTTGGGAGAAGAGGATGCACCACTGAAGTTAATTTCAGTTTTGCTTCTGTCTTTAACGATGCGTTTTATTCTTTATTTGCAGTTTTTTTTTTTTTATACCTTTTTTGCAAAGTGTGCACTTAGAGGTAACATCTTTCCAAAGTGTGGTGTTTACCTTTTCATTGTAAAATAGCAAATAGCAAATAGATGTTATGCCTTTCCATTTTAAGATCTGTAATCAGGTTTAGTGAAATCTAGTTTTTAATTATGTTGGCATTGTGTGCCATCAAATTGGTTCTGACTCATGTATTGGGTTTCTGAGTGCAGCTGGTGGGTTTGAACTGCCAACTTTGTGATTAGCAGTCCAGTGCTTATCCTACAGCAGCACGCGAGGGCTCAGTTTAATCATGTTGTTGTTGTTATGTGCTGTGGAGTTGGTTCCGACTCAGCAACCCTGCACAGGGTTTCTGAGGCTGTTAATCTTTTTAGGAGCAGAACGCCTCATCTTTCTCCCGCAGAGCAGCTGGTAGTTTCGAACTGCTGACCTTGCGGTTCGCAGCCCGATTCATAACCACTACGCTCCTTAGTTTAATCATAGTCTTCTGCAAATGAAGAAGGCAGTTTTGTCCTCAGTTGAAAAAATGAAGACAGCAAAGATCAGCAGTAGTAATTTAATGTAAGGCTACTTGAGATACACAAAATACATTCAGCCTGCAAGTGTTCTCTGTGGAACAAGCATGTATACATCTTAATGTGTAATACACTTGGTTTGTTTTTCCTAAAAAATGAAAAATTTGGCAATTCTAAGACCTGCTTGAAGGAAATTTTCTTTTTGAAAATTTATATGGAATCTTGGTGTTGCGATATTTGTTAACTAACAAAAGTTTGTCAGCAGTGCATAACACTGATTTGTAGTAAGGAAGTTACTTAGCAGCTATAGCAAGGTGTCCATGGTTCTTATTTGAGTATCTGCACAATGCACTTTTGGAGCAAACAAAGCTACAAGTAGATATAGTACCCTCAACAAGCTGAGAAGCTAATTACAGGTGATAATCTCACAACATGAAGAAGAGTTAAACATAAACAAATTTAAGGTTGTCGTTAAGTGCCATTGGTGACCCTTTATAGGGTTTCTGAGGAGCAGCTGATGTATTTGAAATGCTGACCTTGGGGTTAGCAGTAGTGTTCACCCTTCAACGCCATACCAGGACAGCCTGTTATTGCACACATTCTATATATGTGGTTGTTGTTAAGTGCTGTGGAGTCAGTTCCTACTCAGAACGACTCTATATAGTGTTTCCGAGGCTGTAAATCTTTATGAGAGCAGAAAGTCTCATCTTTCTCCCATGTTCTGTATATAGCTTTGTGCTAAAAACATTTAAAAATCATATCTTATTATCACCTATTAGATTTGCATAGATTAAAATGAATTATGGTACTCAATGTTGACAAAGATGTGATCCTGCTAGTGGTTCTTAAATACTTTTGAGGAAGTAGCATTTGGTCTTACCCTGCTGAAGCTCAGTTTGGCAATCTATGTAAAAATTTAAACATGTGTATCCTCTGACCACACAAATCCTGATTCTAGGTATGTTATTTATATAAGGACACAAAATGCTCACATTGTAAGGTCTGTAAACCAAAAACCCAAACTCACTGCTGTTGGGATGATTCTGATTCATAGTGACGCTATAGTAGAGAAGAGGACTGCTCCCTAAGGTTTCTGAGTCTGAACCGACGTACTTACGGGAGCAGGCAGTCTCATAGTTCTTCCCAGAGTGGCTGGTGATTCCAATTGCTACCTTTGCAGTTAGCAGCCCAACATGTAACCCACTGTGCCAACAGGACTCCTACAAGGTCTGCAATAGCAAACAACAGCATATATATCTTATGTGAGATTATATGGCTTAAAAATTATAATACCATTAAAATCAGACAAATTTTTTCTGAAAGTTTTCTTCATAGTTGAGAACATCATATACTACAACATCCTTTCATTAGACATACAGATAAAAGATGAAGCTAAGTTAGGATCAGACCATTATAGAAGCTGGGAAAGGAATCACCCAATTCTGTGCGTGTTTTCTCTGTGCTAGACTTGCATAAGTTGAATAAAAGGAGCATTGGGGTTGGGTATAATTCAGAAAACTCCCTAGAGAAAATGGCTTCGGTCAACACAAGTTTGGGAGCATGTTTCATAGTGAGGTAGCATGATGGTTTCTACATAAAGAGCAATAAGCATAAAGGAAATGATCATTGGTATGCTCTGTCAGTCTCAGGTACTTGAACGCATCCGCAAATAGTCTGGAGTCCTTACCATCTGCCTGCACTGGGGAGGAGAGTCTGAGTATGCTGCAGTTGCTCTACCTGACGAGCAATCTCCTGACAGATCAGTGTATCCCTGTGCTGGTGGGACATCCACACCTGCGAATCTTACATCTTGCAAACAATCAACTACAGACTTTTCCAGCAAGGTAAATAGCTGCCAACTTTGATCATTTCAGACATAGAACATTAATTCTACATTTGTTCAGACTAAGTTAGAGCTTGTCTATATAACATTAATTCTATATTTGTTAGAGCATTCTCTGTGTACTTTTGCTTTGTGGTAAGGGAATTACTGATGCTGTGATCATACTAGTGGAATGGCAAGACCTCAGTTTTTGAGTATTTTTGTCACTAATAGAAATATCACAAATGAGTGGCTTGAACAAACAAATTTTATTTTCTCACAAGTTAGGAGGCCAGAAGTCAGAATTCAGGGTCTCTGCCCTAGACGGGCAGGGGCTTTTCTCTCTGTCGGCTCTGGAGGGAAGGCTCTCATTTTCTTCATCTTTTGCTTCCTGGTGTCTTGGAACTTTCCATGTGGCTTGACATCAGTCTTCCCCATCTCTTTTCTGCTTGCTTGTTTAATCTCTTACATATCTTAAAAGAGACTGAATCAAGATACACTCTATAGTAATCCAGCCTTACTAACATAACAAAGCCAACCCATTCCCAAATGGAATTATAACGACAGGCATAGAGTTTAGGATTTGCAACACATGTTTTATATGAACGTAATTCAATCCATGATAATCAGTAGATAAATAAATTATGATTAAAATGTATGTAATCTTTAGTTTTAAATTCTTAATAATGGTCTGACAATGCTCAACCTAGAAAAGTACAAGTTTAATGAAATAAATTCTAAAAGCATTTTTTTCTCTCTTGTCAACAGTGTTTTATAAAACACATTTATTGACTGTAGATATTGAAGTATATGTAAATATTAGGTAATAACAGTGATTAAGTTATAGTCTCTGTGCTTAAGGAATTTACATACAAACTGGGGATATAGACACGTATATACAGACCATTGTAATTTAGTGTGATATATGCAAATGTTAAAGATAGCATGGATTTATGGAAAGACTCACTGATGCCAATAGGCGGAAGCAGCCTAAATGTCAACCAGCAGGTAAATGGAAAAATAAAATGTAGAGTATACATACAGTGAATGTGACTCATGTTTTCACAGGGAGAACTAAAGTCCTGATACATGTTACAGCGTGAATGAGCCCTGAAAACATTAAGCTGAGTGAAAAAAAACACCAAAAAACACACACCAAAAAACAACCAAACCCATTGTCATCAAGTCATTTCTGACTCCTAGGGCCTCTGTAGAGTAGAACCGCTCTATAGACTTTCCAAGGCTGTAATCTTTAAAGAAGCAAACCATCACTGTGGAATCAGTGGTGGTTTCAAACCAACGATTTCAGCTGAGCTTTAAATCATTGTGCCACCAGGGCTCCTTTGAAAGATACACAGGGCCTTTCTATTGTCTTTGCATTTTCCTGTAAATACATCATTGATTCAGATAAAACATTTTGTTTTGGTTTTTAAAGATAGGCACGGGGACAGAGTGGAGTTAGACTTCCTAGAAGAAGAGTTCTCTGGAAGGACGAGGAGATGAATAGGAGTTAGCCAGGCACCCTTCCTGTTTGACATAAGAGAGGGATTCAATGCTGTCCCTAAGCTTTAAATGGAGTCCTGGTGTGGAGCTGTGGGTTAATGTGTCAGACTGCAAAGCCATTTGAACTGCAAGGTTGGCAGTTCAAGCACACCAGCTGCTCCTTGGAAACAATATACAGGGTCACTATGGGTCGGAACCAACTCACCGGCACTTAACAGCAACAACTACAAGCTTTAAACAGTGTCTCTTTCAAAATAGTTTTAATTTTTAAAATGTAGAAAATTGGACACCAAAAAAATTCATGTACCATGAAAGTAGTTATTAAATTCTCATGTCTTCAAAAATGAACCAAGAATATGGGGAAATGATGTTTGATATACGCTGAATAAAATTACATATGTAATAAAATTGTATAATGTTTATAGTTCAAATAAAACAAGATGAAATATATAATTCTAATTTTAAGAAATATTTTTAGAAATGTGATAAATTTAAAAACCTATAGAAATAATAGTTTTGTTAAAATTAATGAAATTAGATATTTACAGTTTTTAAAATAAGTAGGAATAGGAAGCAAGAGTAAACTTGATTGCTTTCTTGAAAGAATTTGAGCAGTGGCTTTTAAAATGAATATAGACTTCATTTCTAGGATTCTTAATCTTATCAGATTAGTTGGTCCCAAGTATGTTGGTATAAAACAAAGCTGACAGACCACTGAAAAGCTATATTCGTTTCTGAAACTGTTGGGAGATGTCAGGTGTAATAACTGAATCCCTCCTAATTTGATGACACTAATTACTGGAGAGGCTGACATAAAGTTTAAAACACATTAAAGAAAATAGAAATAAGAAGTTAGAAACAAAGATAAGAATTAACAGGAGATGACATAAACTTAGAGCTATCTTGATAAAAACAATTGCTGTTGAGTCCATTCCAACTCCTATCAACCCTGTGGAACAGAGTAGAATTGCCCACAGGGTTTCCAAGGTTGTAAATCTTTATGAAAGGAGATTACCACATCGTTCTGCAGAATGATCTGTTTGGATTGCTGACCTTTCAGTTAGTAGCCAGGCTGAATTATAAATCCATGGTCACGTCATCTCTTGAGTAGTGTTGTAAGTGCCCAGATATAATCTAAATCTTCTTTTATGTCTTGGATAATTTTCAGTTATAACACAGTTCTGATTACTTGGTAAGAGGCTGACTGAGATGGGGATACTGAATTTCTAAAGGCAGTAATTAACAGGAGATCACACAAACTTAGAGTCATCATAAATGTACATGTAAATTAGAAAGATCTGAGCAAGGAATAGTACCAAAGGAAAAGCACGACATTTAGAATCAGAAGACTTGGGTTGGAATGTTGACTCAGCCATTTATTAGCTATTTCATCTTAACATCTTTGTGTCTTGAAAATGCAGATAAAAATCTATTATTGTACATATTTTAAAAAGAAATATATTTAAAATTGACTACCCAAAATCTGGATCAATTAAAAAATGTCAAAAGATTAATCAAGCAATCAAAAGCCAGTATTAGAAACATAGTTATTACTAAGGTGAAGAAAGACAGATGGAAGTGGAATATCTACAAGATAGGCTAAGACTGAAAGAGGAAACTGGAGAGCAGAAAAGGATGGAAGTATTTCCAGTAGGAAGGAATGTAAAAAGGTAGGATAAAAGCAACTTCAGTTCTGAAGACTCTGGAGGGAAATTAGATGCTAACATTCACTGAGCAAGTGCTAATTGTTATATATGATATTATCTTTTGTCTATAATAGGTATAGCAAAGCAACAACATAAATGCGATTTATTCTGCAGCTATACTCATCACACTTTTATGCCATGAATAAAAGTTGTGTATTACAATATTTATTATAAAATCAGAAGATTTGAGACAAACACTATCAAACAATTTGGAATTTGTTAAGTAAATGATAGAAGATCGTATGTTGAACTGCTCACCACATCAATAATTCTCAAACAGGGTTCCTTGAAAAATCAAGCTCTTAATACCTCCAGTGTCCATTATACTTACAATGAGAAGTGTTTAGTGACATGGAAACATGGTTGTAAAATAACTGTTGGTGAGCAACTGCTCATTTTTGGTGCATTATGGCATTTTGGTACTTTCTTTTCAGCAAACTCAATAAATTGGAGCAACTGGAAGAATTGAACCTGAGTGGCAACAAACTAAAAACCATTCCCACAACCATAGCAAACTGCAAAAGGCTGCATACCCTTGTTGCACACTCCAACAATATCAGCATTTTCCCAGAAATACTGCAGTTGCCTCAGATTCAGGTACCTTTATGTGCAGGAATGATGTCCTTAGGGGAAAATGGAAAGAATGTGACTAAGATTGGTCTCTTCTTTTAAGGAGCACAAAGGCCACAATAAACTGACTACCGGGAAGAAACTAAGTTCTCCTTTGAAAAGATAGATAATTGAAGATTGAGATTTGGGGGTAAAGATTGAACTCCCTCTTTTGTGTTTTGCTTTAATTTCTCTATTTTCTTCCCAGTTTGTAGACTTGAGTTGCAATGACTTGACAGAAATCCTGATTCCGGAGGCTCTGCCTGCTACATTACAAGACCTCGATCTAACTGGAAACACAAATCTGGTCCTAGAACACAAGACCCTGGACATATTTAGGTGGGAAAAGTTCTGAAATGGAATCCACACATACTGTTCTACCAGCTGGGTGTGATCTTCTATGTCAGCACAGTGGAGGTCTTGGTTAACTAAAGGAATTGGGTGAATTAGCCATAAATCCCAGTCTCTTCTTTGGTTCAGTTATGTGTGTATGTTCTCTCTCCACTCATCAGACAGTTCATTTTACTAAGTCACACTGAACACTTCGCCATGGCCAGCACAGATATTTTAGTTGGCACAGATCACATACATCTAAGAGACAAGTTCATTCGTTGTACTAAGACTTCATAAGTAGACAGTTGGCTGAAACTTAGAAATCTTTGTGTGCTTAGTTTTCCATAGAAATGAATGGTACTAATTGTAATAATATTTGGCACTTATTTCTTCCACCTACTTCTTCCTTTCTCTCTCCTCCTCCTCAGGCAGTGGCTCAACACACCATTGTCATTCAGTATATCTGGGAATGAGTCTTAGTTTGTCAACTGATTACTTTTTGAAAACATACATTATTGGGATAGTTTTTGTAAAATACAGACAAGTACATGGTTTAATCTTCCATTGTCTCTCACAGCCATATCACAACTCTGAAAATTGATCAGAAACCTTTGCCAACCACTGATTCTACAGTCACATCAACTTTCTGGAGCCATGGACTGGCTGAGATGGCAGGGCAGAGAAATAAGTAAGTATGTTAGCCCTGGATATGGAGAAAGAAAAGAGGCAACCCTGACATCTGGTGCTCATAGCTAGGCATGCTGTCCTCATGTTGGACATAAATAAATCTCAGCATATCAGCATCACCTAAGGTCCTTCTGAGACCTAGATAAGTAAGACAAAAATAAGATCAATGGGCAGCCCCAAAACTCCTAAACACTCCCCTCTCTTGGGTAAAGTGAATGACTACTACTTCTTTACCAATTACAGTTTTATCCTCCTGCTGAAGTCCTTTCCCTAGACATAAGATTTATGGAGGTAACTAATCACAGAAAGGTCCTGTCTCTCTGACAGCATTCAAAATAGAGCAATTACCAGTTCCTTAGACGCTTGCCAAAATTAGCCAACAAAAACCCAAATCATGTAATACACTATTTTCAGTACTCTCCTACCTACACAAGGGGATTTCAAAAAATTGTGGAAAATGGAATTGAAACATAATGGAGTTTGTCCAGGAAGTTTGGGAAGCCTTCTCGTATGCTCCAGAGTTCTTCTTACTGCAGTGAGTAATAAAGACAGCTTGTTCAACTCCAGGTGTGATCCTGGTAGTCTTGGCTGAAGGACATTGATTTACTGCTGTGGAGTCGATTCCAACTCATAGTTAACCCCATATGATAGACTAGAATCTTTCTTGGAGCAGATCGCCACATCTTTTCTTCTTTGGAGCTGCTGGGTGGGTTGAAACCACCAGCCTTTTGGTTAGCAGCTGAGTGCTTACCTATTGCACCACTAACATTGTATGCTGATAATGCTGCTATTGTTAGGTGTTATCAAGTCGTTTCCAACTCATAGTGGCCCCGTGTACAACAGAATGAAACACTGCCCAGTCCTGTGTTATCCTCACAATCTTTGCTGTGTGACCCTTATGTAGCCACTATGTTAATCCATCTCTGGTCTTCCTCTTTTTTTGCTGACCCTCTACTTACCAAGCGTGATGTCTTTCTCCAAGGGCTGGTCCCTTCTGATACCATGTCCAAAGTGAGATGAAGTCTCACCCTCCTTACTTCTAAGGAGCATTCTGGCTGTACTTTTTCTAAGACAGATTTGTTTGTTCTTTTAGCAGTTCATGGCATATTCACCTTAATTCAAAGCCATCCGTTCTTTAGTCTTCCCAATTTATAATCCAGCCTTCACATGCATATGCAGTGATTGAAAATGTCATGGTTTGGATCAGGCACACCTTAGTCTTCAAAGTGGTCTTTTTGCTTTTTTTTTTTAACACTTTAAAGAAGTCTTTTGTGTTAGTAGATTTGCCCAGCACAATACATCATTTGATTTCATGACTGCTGCTTCCATGGCATTGATTGTGGATCCAAGTAAAATGAAATCCTTGACAACTTCAGTCTTTTTTTCCATTTATCTTGATGTTGCTTACTGATTCCATTGTGAATATTTTTGTTTTATGTTGAGGTGTAATCCATACTGAAGTCTATAGTCTTTGATCATCACTAAGTACTTCAAGTCCTCTTACTTTTCATCAAGCAAGGTTGTATCATTTGCTTATCACAGGTTATCCTAGTTCTGTCGTCTTTGTGTATCCCAGCATCTCAGATTATTACTCAGCACACCTTTGTTGATTTTAAATCACATAGTATCCCCTTGTCCTGTTTAAACAACTGCCTCTTGGTCTATGTATAGATTCCATACAAGCACATTTAATTTTTCTGGAATTCCTATTCTTAGCCATAACTTATACTGACACTACAAGTCCTTAATCACTGCTAAGAGAAGCATTTAATCTCTGCAGCCTGTTGCAACATTACAGATAATGTGTACTATCCACAAGTGTGGCTGAATTTCCCCCTTTCCTCATGACATCTACTTTCAGCAGCAACTAATATTCTTATCTAGGGATTGTTTTCCCTTGTAGATTAGGATTCACTAGTACCCTTCTCCACGCCCAATTAATATTTAATTTTTAAAAGATTCTCTGAAGAAGAATCCTTTACCAATAACTTTCTCGTGTTTATTATAGGCTATGTGTATCCGCCCTAGCTGTGGATAACTTTGCAGAGGGGGTGGGAGCTGTGTATGGCATGTTTGATGGGGACCGAAATGAGGAGCTCCCTCGCCTACTGCAGTGTACAATGGCAGATGTGCTTTTGGAAGAGTTACAGCAGTCAACAAATGACACAGTTTTCATGGCTAACACCTTCTTGGTATCTCACAGGTAAGCAGGTGGGTTGAATAATCCCTAACAGAGTTCTGCTTTTGGAAAGTGAATCTCTTTAAACCAAAGGATTAGTGTCTACATTATAGAGACAGGAACAAAGAGAGATCTTACACCTTCTTACATGATTATTCTCTTGATAGGCATGAAGTTGGAGATGTTGACTCTCCAGAGAGCCTCTGGAGTCATCTATTTCCTCTGTCCATCTCAAAGGCTTTTCAAGATATAGAAAACCTAGAAATTAACATGCAGAAGTGGTGTGTGTACAAGTGTTTGTACATCTTGGAAAAGGAAATGTACAAACACACACAGATCTGGAAGCTTTCATAAGATTCCAGAGTCAGTGAACAAGCACTGATCATATTCTTACGTTTTGGCTGCTTTGTTATTGGAGATTTACCAGCGAATTACATTTAAATATAAAGTATTTAAGGGCAAAAGCCCTACATAACCAAAGTATTGAAAGTCTCATAGTATCGAATGCAGTTACCTTGCACATCACTTGTGCTGCATAAAGGTTATATGCAGGGGCTTTAAATTTGGATCGCGGAGGTTGAAACCAAACAACCTGAAACTTGAGCTAGCTTTCTGTCAATATTTCATAGCAGAGCCTTGGGAAAGGACTCTGTTTTTCAGAATTAAACTAAGGACTTGGTGAGATAAAATGTTTGGGAAAGGGCATTCAGGAGCCGTTCCAGAGCCAAGTACTGTGCCAAGCATTTTTTTCACGCCTTACCTTTCATTTTCAAGATAAGTTTCGGAGGTGAGTATTTTATCAGAGAGATTTTTTAGAGAAATTGAGTAATACCTGAGGGTCTACAACCAGTGCCTAGCAGAGCTGGTATTTGAAACCAGATCCTCTGATAACATCTACTCTGCTTAGCATTGGTGACTAAGTGCTGGGAGATGTACTCTGCAGATGGGGGAAACCCAAGGAGAAGCATGGTCCTTCCCTCAAGGAGCTTACAATATACATGCATGGTTCTTAACTCTGCTGTCACAGGACCCCTGAAACCTGTTAGAGATGCAGATTATTGGGCCCACCCCTTACCTACTGAACCAGAAACTCTAGGTATGGGGCCCAGTAATCTGCGTTATGATAAGTTGTATAGATGATTCTGATGTGCTAACGATGGAGAACCATGTTAGTAGTCCCTCCATAGCTGCAGTTTCACTTCAAGGTTTCAGTGAACCTTGGTGTGAACCTGGTGGTCAACCTTGGTCTAAAAATATTTTAATTGCATGCCACTTTGAATAACATTGTGAAATCTTGCATTAAAAAAAAAATCGTACATATAGAGTTTGGTTCTATCTGCATCCATTTGGCTTCCACTTGGAGTCATGGAACGTATTCCCTGTGAATAAAAGGGGGACTACTGTAGTTATAATGTATGATCAGATAGAGAATGTACCTTCATTGTCCATTCTTTATGACTTGAAAACTTTATGTAGTCAGCTAAGCATGGAAGGCAAAATTCTCTTAACAGTATCATCTATAGCAAGAGACCTCCTTCAGGTGGATAAGGACAAGTCTGGATCATAATCACATGACAGAAGAACTTAACACCCACCCCTTCTGAAGGACTACCGTAGATCTCTTTTTAAGTTTAATATTGATGGCACATTCCACAACTACCTATTACACCTTCATTTTCGTCTCTTTTGCAACAGAAAATTAGGAATGGCTGGCCAGAAGCTGGGCTCCTCTGCTCTCCTGTGTTACATCCGACCTGACACTGCCGATCCAGTGAGCACTTTTAGCTTGACTGTGGCCAATGTTGGCACGTGCCAAGCAGTCTTGTGTCGAAGTGGGAAACCAGTGTCCCTCTCTCAAGTCTTCAGCCTGGAGCAGGATCTAGAGGAGGCACAAAGGGTTAAGGACCAAAAAGCCATCATAACAGAGGTGCGTCTTATTCTCTACCAGTCACTTCAACCCCCAAAGCTAGTGGATGCTCTTGTAGAGTGGCAGTGAAAGTCCATTTTATTCCTTGACTTGGTTTACCCCTCTTACCACTCTGAGTGGTAATAAGAAAAAAAACCTGTTGACATTTCCTATGGTGCCTTATAAACTGTCCTAATTCAGACAGGTGTTCAGTACAGGTGGCTTTAGTAGTAATAACGGAAGAAAGGAGGCCTGGTGTGGTGCTGTAGAATAGGTACACCATCTTCTCATTGGAACCTGTTTATACATGGTCACTATGAGCCGAAACCAACTTGACGGCACTTAACGATGGAAGTGAATCTTAGGATCAGTTGTTGCAATTATAGTTTCTGTCAGTTCAGTTCCAACTCGTGGAGACCCCATGTGTCAGTGTAAAACTTCTCCATAGGGATTTCAAGGCTGTGACCTAGAAAGTGTATTCCCAGACCGCTCTTCTGAGGGCACTTCTGGGTGGGTTTGAACCACCAACAGTTGAGCTAGTAGCTAAGTGTTTAACTTATTTGCACCACCCAGGGACTCCAGTCCCCTGAGAGAACTGCTTTTATTCCCCTTTTACAGCTATGGAGAGTAAAGTATAGAGTTTTGACAATTAAATTAGTGAGCCAGTTGCAGTTTCTGTAACTATAAAATAAATGTATTGCTGCTGTTAGAATTTTTGTTTGTTTTACCTTCAATCGATATAAAATGTCTGGTAGATAAATAATCTCAGTCTAACCAAAGTTATTCCTTTTCTTCTGAAGTTTTGATTTGCATGGCTTCTTTGATCTGCTCTTCATTGTTGGTACAGTCCTTATGGAGTAGGTAAATTATGGTAGGACCCTTCAGTTCATATGTCTAAGGCTAAATAACCTTGTTGTTGTTGTTGTTAAGTGCTGTTGAGTTGGTTCCAATTCATAGTGACCTTTTTAGAGTTTTCAAGGAGTGGCTGGTGAGTTTGAGCCACCAATCTGCGATGAGCAGTCCAGTATGGATTCTGTAGCAGGATTCCTTAGAAACTATTTAACACTTCAGCTGCTACTATTTTCTTAACCATTTGATTCTTATGAATCTTGTCCGCCGTAACTGTGCATTGAATGAGAAATCATTTTTCTGAGTCTTGGTCTCTCTGAGCATCGTAGTTCTTGACAGTTGTGCTTACTAGTTGTAACAGGTGTTTCTCTATTTAAGAACACATGTGCTCTGTTCTTCATGTCAGAACAAATAACTTTAATATGGTGTGGTACCTTTTAGTCACTTCCCTGGTTTTAACATCAGTCCTCTGAACTGTTTGTTATAATAACCATATGGTGTTTTGTCCTTTTTGAATTCAGATTTTCTTGTTTTCATAAAAACCCACTACCACTGAGTTCATTCTGACTCATAGCAACCCTGTGTAGAGTTCTGACACTGTAAGTCTTAACAGGAGCCAACAGTCTCATCTGTTTGCTATGGAGCAGCTAGTGGTTTTAAACTGCTGCACTTGATTTATAGAGTTCATTCAGTGCCTCACTCAAAGCAACATCAGGGCTCCATTCAAAATTCTATAGGTCTGTGATTGGCAGCTCAGACCCCACCAAGCTGTTCTTGGAAACCTTAAGCAGGTTCGCTTTTTAAAATAAGAACTGGATGGCACTTAACAATAACAGCAATAAGAAAAATCACGTCGCATGTCTTATTTTACTGTAGATCCGTAAGCATTGTGATATAGAAATATATAAAGTTGCCTTTCATTGCTTGTTTCTCAAAATGTGCATTCTGCTTGTCTGTAGGACAACAAAGTGAATGGGGTAACCTGCTGTACCCGGCTGCTGGGCTGTACATACCTCTACCCTTGGATCCTCCCCAAGCCCCACATATCTTCCACTCCACTTACTATTCAGGATGAGTTGCTGATTCTGGGGAACAAAGCATTGTGGGAACACTTGTCATATACAGAAGCTGTTAATGCAGTGCGTCATGTACAAGACCCATTAGCAGCTGCCAAGAAGCTGTGCACGTTAGCACAGAGCTATGGTTGTCAGGACAACGTGGGGGCCATGGTGGTTTATTTGAATATTGGTGAGGAAGGTTGCACTTGTGAAGTGAATGGGATCACTCTTCCAGGTCCTGTGGGATTTGCTTCAACGACCTCCATCAAGGACCCCCCAAAGCCAACCACTCCTTCCTCTAGTAGTGGTATTGCCTCTGAGTTCAGCAGTGAAATGTCCACTTCAGAGGTGAGCAGTGAAGTGGGGTCTACGGCTTCTGATGAACATAACACTGGGGGCCTGGATCCTGGCTTGCCTCCAAGGCCAGAGAGACGCTGCAGCCTTCATCCAACACCCACTTCTGGGGTTTTTCAGCGGCAGCCTTCTTGTGCAACTTTTTCAAGTAATCAGTCAGACAATGGTCTGGACAGCGATGATGACCAGCCATTAGAAGGGGTCATCATAAATGGCAGCAAGGTAGAAGTAGAGGTAGATATCCATTGCTGTAGAGGCAGAGATCTTGAGAACTCTCCTACTTTCACTGAGAATTCTCCTACCCCGTGTCCTGAGGAACATGCTAGAGGCTTGTTTTTTGGGATCAGAAGACAGAACAGTGTGAATAGTGGCATACTCCTGCCGGTGAGCAAGGATAAGATAGAGTTGCAGAAGTCTCCCTCCACTTCCTGTCTCTATGGAAAGAAGCTCTCTAATGGCTCTATCGTGCCCCTGGAAGATAGCCTGAACCTCATTGAGGTGGCCACAGAAGCCCCCAAGAAGAAAACTGGCTATTTTGCTGCCCCAACTCAGCTAGAACCAGAGGATCAGTTTGTTGTACCTCGTCACCTGGAGGAAGAAGTGAAGGAGCAAATGAAGCAGTGCCAGGAAAGCAGGCCCGAGCCTGAGCCCAGCGAAGAGGAGCCGAGCGAGCTCCCTGAGGAGTTTGACACAGCGCTCTAATTCTCCCCGGGGAGCCACTGTGTTAGAGAGGGCGGTGTCAGGGCTGGGGTAGGAACCATTCCAGAGGCAATTTGCCTCTGCAGTTCTGAATCTTAGATGAGTGGAGCTGAACTCAGAGCCCCAAAAGGGTGAGCACTATCAGGGTCTTGCTTTGGATAAGCTAGTGGCCACTCTCAGTGTTAAGTTTTGCGTTTAACCTGTATTGGAATTCCCAGAATTGCTGGGAAGAAAGCAGATGTTGTTCTGTACCTGTCCTACCACCTGCCATTAACCCTTTCTCTCCTAGGATCATTTTGAGAATTTGCCTGCCTGGGCAGGAAAGGGACTTTTTCTGTGGAGGAATTACTGAAGATTAAATCCCTTTACTAATTGCTGCTGATGGATCTCTGTGACAGAGAAATCACTCTTACGTCTCAGCCTAACTGATGGGATGTGATGTGACTAGTCACATGGCTTTTCATTCTTCTCTACGAGAATACAGCCTATCAAAATGACGTTTATTGGAAATGTAGAACCAATCAACAGATAATTTATGTATGTAATGTAATGAGAGCACTTTTCATTGACTGTGAATTTTTTATTTTTGAATCTGCACTCGAGCCAATCTTCTTAGAGGCAGCCTGGCACCTTTGTCTATAGGGAGAGAGAACCAGGTGTTGGAGCCTTCTCTGAGGGTATTAGGAAAGGTCATGGGAAATTGATTTCCCAGCAGATCACAAGGGAGATGTTGAGGGATTGGCCTCTTTCTGTCACACATGATGGAGTTGTTGGCAGCCAGTGTCTGAGTATGTAGGGCCAAAGCTGACACTGCTGTGTCCCAAACTCGAGGCCCAGCGGGTGATTGAACAGACTGAGGCTGAGTGAGAACAGCTGGATAGATGGAGTTCATATGTTCAGCATGTTCCTTCTCTTATTCTAGAGCAGGGGGCTGGTTTTCTAAAGCAGCAGGAGTGAGTGGCGAATTCACCTCATTAATGTTGAGCAGAGTACTCTTGTGAAAACTGCTGACCTACCGTCCATGATTTCAGAGTTCGGGGCTGAGTTACCAAGAAAGACTCATAACTGAAAAAATTCCTAAACTGACAGAAACTTGGTTTACTGTGGTTTTGCACATTCCATGGAATCCTAGCAAAATTCGCATTTCTTTGTGTATTTCTGTTCTGTTGCCTTTCTACTGGAAGATTTACTTAGGAAAATCCTACTTATTCATACAAAATTGTGAAATTGCTTGATTCTACTAAGTGGAGACTGCGCTTTTGAATTTTGTGGAATACTTTCACAATTAAAAAGAAAATAGACTGGAGCCATTTTTGTTTCATTAGAAACAAAATGATAAAGATTATTTGAAGTTTTGTGTAAAGCAATAGGAGAGGACCAGTGACCTGTCCGCAAATGGGCGTTCAGTCTCCATCTTTCCCAAAGCCGCATGTCCATGGCTGTGTGAGTGGAGTGTGACCTTGAAGGGTTCTGTACCCCTCAGTGACTGCCTGATGTACAAGCCGTCAGAATGTGAATTTCAGTCCTCAGATTGTCAGGAGCACTTCTCTGTGTCAGACTGCTGGTCAGCTGTTGAAAGGTGTTAGAACTCAGGACTTTGATTTCAAGCAGGAACATGGGGGAGGAGAGGGGCTCATGGAAAATTAGGTGCTGTTAGAGAGATGGAAACAACAGGGTGTTGTCATCTTATTTTTATATGGAAAAATGGGGGTGGGATTTACTCAAAGATGGTAGGTAGTGAAGTGTGATGTAAAACATCTTCCTACCCAGCCAGACAAGAACCTGTGGGTTGTGGAATCCTGATGTTATCTAGAAATGAAGGTTATTTTGGGAAAACACCACTTTAATAATACAATCTCATAAAAAATTTGTCATATATCTATGAATCCTTGTCTTGTATTTGTTTTCCACCTTACTTACTGGAACCCTCATAAAGCCCAGTTCTGAAAAGAATTTGCCAGATGTAAATGTGTTTACTTTTTAGTCAGCAGAATTCTGAAATTCAAAAATTTTTTTATGTGATAGAAAGTTATTTTTAGGAAACAGTAGATTGTACTGAAAATCTTAAATATAGACTATACCAAAACAGATGATTCTTTTTGTAACCTCTTTTAATTCATTTCCCTCTACATTTGCTCTGTATTAAAAGAGGATAAAAAGGCCATAGCCCATTACCAAAAATAGAATACAGACTCTTGACCTTTGAGATAACTTACAGAAATTGTGTTATCTGATTGTCTGACTAGTTGGTGAAGTTCAGTAAATCTGTCTCCAGATCATTGTAAGGTATTTTTCAGTACCTTACTGAGAGGACACGTTGTGTAGGTGGGCAGAAATTCTGGCCTCTGCATGATTCTCAGGTCTCTGTGTGTAGCTCCCATTTGAGAAGTTTAACCAACTTTCTGAATGAAAACTCCTGATTTTGGGAGGAGTTCATGTGTCCCATGGGCAAGAAAATACACGAATCTTGTCAGCCATCATGGTAATCTTACTTTTATCCACATGAATTGGAAGTATATTTGAAAATATTGATAGGCATAAAGCTACAGTTCTTCTATAGTCATTGAATTACCACTCTTACTACAATCGAGGGCTTTATTATACTACTGTAGTGTGTGTGTGTGTGTGCGCGCGCGTGCGTGCGTGTGTGTGTGTATGCACGCACGTGTAATAAGGTGTTGAATTCATTCTCCTGGTGTGTAGAGGAGCTGAAGCCTGGCAGCCATTGGGTGCTATTACAGTTGTTTGTAGTGATTGCTGCTCTCCAGGAGATGGAGCCAGACCCACAGAATCTTACACGAGGCTCTTTCCTTCTAGACCTGAGGCAGGTACTTGCAAGCCACAGGCTCACCTCTATCGACTCAGTTGTTCTTAATGAAGAGACCTCCATAAGGGAGCACTTGGCTGTTACTAATCAGTGTACCAATTACTAAAGAACCCGTCTCCAAGCCATTCACTGATGCCCGCAGCATCACTCTGGAATTGTCTTGTATCACTTTTTACTTCCCTCTGGGGGAGCCTTTCAGACTCCCCAGTCATGGAGGCACATTCACCTTTCTCTCCAGTTAGTGACTTTGGCCCCATACTTGGGTCAGCACTTGCTAGATGGAGAGAAGCAGCTACGGAAAATTCTGCTGTGCCCTCACGTGCTGACCATTCCCTCACACACATGCTCCTTATATTCTAGTCTCAGTTTCATGCACTTCTCCCAGAGGCCGTCGAGTTTTTCCCTCACTGTTGCCAGTGGATGTCATCCAGACAGTGGGCTCCTATCCAGGTTTTGTGCAATCATTGTTGTATTGTAGGCCTAACACTCATTATAGTGTATTTTTGATATTTTTGAAATGTGTTAAATTTTTTAATTAAATAATATGAGCCAGAGCATGTTGCAGCAAATCTATTGTTTGTAAAAAAACAAAACAAAACAAAACAAAAAACACCAATAGTAATAAATAAAATAAAATGGAATATCTTTTTCATGGCTTTGTTTTAAAATGGAGTACTTGTTATTTTGCAGACACTTTATTTTAGCATGAAAATTTCTTTCCTAACTTGTATGTAGAATCAGTTTCTTAATCAGAAGCCCCTTTTTGATCTTTCTGCTTTTTCATGCTTTAGGAAAGATAGGCAAGAGCAAACAAACTGCATTCCATGGCACTTTCGGAAGCAATGAGTTGAAAGCAAGAATAAATATTTTTTATCATCTTTTCAGCTGAAACAGCAATAAAGTTTTTTTTTTTTTTATGAAACATTATATTCTGACTTTGTTTATCTGATTAAAGATCTCAGGCAGGACACAGTCTTTACATGCAGGTTTTTAGATGACAAAACGGAATTGTGACCCTTCTTTATGTGGAGGCAACACAGAGGAGCTAACTGGACAGTCTTGCCATTTTGCTTTTCATAATGTTAACAGCTTTGACGTGGAGAGAACTAACGACATAGTGGTGGGCACTGACTAACTTGTAATCCTATTTAGCCAAACTAGCCATTGTTTGTTTGCTATAACCTCTGATGAGTATTTCTGCTCCCACAAATGTTTATAGCCACAGAAACTGTGTAATCGCTATGAATCAAATTCAACTTGATGGAAATGGGTTTGGGCTTTTGGACACCAAATAACAGCTGAGATTTCTTCATTTTCTGACAGAATGAACATTTTTAAAACTTGGTTCAACAACTTGTTTTATTGAGTACTTTCAATGTGCTAGGCTCTATGTTTCCCACCTGCCATAAAACTTTGGACCCTTGAGATATACCTCCCTATTCCTTGGTGCCAGAAATGAAATTCTCTGAATGTGCGGGTCTTTGGCCTACATCATAGTAATTCCATGATAAACCCAAGGTCACAAAAGTACATGAGTTCCTCAGAACAAATTCCAGTGTGTGACTCAATTGCCCAAATCCTGCCTCTGTTAATTTAGGAATGTTATTTAATCTCCACTTTTAACATTTGCTAAATGGAAATAACAGTATGTCTTGTCAGTTGTGAGCTTAAGTTGGATATTACAAGCAGAGTGCTTCCTTAGTTAGCACCATATTGTACCTGGTACACAGTGAGCACAAGTAGACTGCTTCAGCTCATCTGTAAAGCACAAATGATAAATTTTGACCTGCTTCCCTCACAAGTGGTACTAAGACACGGTTTACTAAAGAATTTGGAATGCTGCCAGACTACAAGCATGGGGTGTATTAGGATGATCGGTGGGTCGAATTTGCTTGGGAGGAGCTTAACCTCAGAACAAGATCATGAAGGGGCCCAGGCACAAAGCTGGGTCAAAGCATGGTCAAAGCCCCCATTTCATCAAACATAAGACCTAGGGCTGGTCGAAGATCTGATGCGGGCACATCTCAGGAAATATGTGCTAGGTGAGAATAATGTGGAGGGGTGGGAGTAACAGGTGGTTTGATTTTTGTTGCTGTTAAATGTCTGGACTTGGTGCGGCTCTGTAGGATCAGCACTGGACTGATCACAAGGTCGGCAGTTCAAACTCATTAGCTGGTCCTCGGAAACCCTATACAGTGTTGACTCGATGGCCCTTAACAAGAACAAATGTCTGCCCCTTGGTGAAAACTTGAGACCGTAACTCCTGCCTTGAGGCTGAGGCCAGTGGCCTGGTAGCACCTTTCTGTGGTACCACAAGCTTATTTTAACCTAATAATGTAGATGTCTTGTTGGTTCTCTTTAAAAAAACTTTACCATTTATAAACATGTAATCCAGATACTTCTCTATTTCTGGATGAGGTTTCATTTTGATTCTTTTGAGTAGGTTCTGTAAGGATTAGCTATTGCAAATCAAAACAGAACAGTATAGATACAATGAGTGCATATTTCTAGTTGCATCTGACAATCACATTCCATGAATTAGTTACTTGAGACTAGTTATAAAGTGTAAGAACAGCTATAAAAAACATACTTTATTAAAATTACTGAGAGAACTTTATTCGTAAGTTTCAATGTTGGCAATCTGTTATTTAATGAAAACAATAGAGGAGGATGAGAAGTTACCATCTAATTTTAATATCCTATACAGGGCAGTGGAGAAAGGTCAGTTAAAAAGCCTCCAGTAAGCACAGTGGCTCTGTGGGATAAGCACTGGACTTCTAACCACAAGGTCAGCAGTTTGTACCTACCAACTGCTCTGTGGGAGAAAGATGAACCTTTCTGCTCCTGAAAAGACTTAAGCCTCAGAAACCCTATGCAGGGTCACTATGAGTCGGAACTGACTCAGTTGCACTTAACAAAATTCTATAGTCAATGAAATTAACAGCTTTATCTTTGAAATCAATTAAGACAAGTTGATGGACTTCTTTTTCTCTTAATATTTCCAAGCCTCATATTAAAGAAAACTATAAAATATTTCAGGAAAAAGTGAATTTCATTTGAATGGCTTACCATACAAGTAGCTGACTGGGAATGGCTGGCAGAGACAAACATTTTCTCTCGGCCCTGAATACAGCAATTCTGAGCAGGATCATGTATGCTAAAAACATCTCAATGAATCAGGAATCCAACTTACTATCTTGAACAGAAGAAAAGTTCCTTGGGACCCAAGGCAGTCCCAGGAAGTATACTGCTGTACAGCCCTCTTTATGGGCAGAATAGCTAGTCCCTAAGAGACAGACTTAATCACAAGTGTAGAACTCAAATCATACAACTGCTTTCAAATCCTTTCCCCAGGATCAAATAGGGGACGGGAGTGGGGAGAGATGGTATTTTTTTGGACTTTACTCTTAACCCTGGACCTGCTACTCCCTGGTGTGTAGTTTTCATCCTTCAAAATATCTCTGGCTAGTTAGCTACTACCATTGTAACCCTGCCATTTGGAAAAAGAACAGAACCCTAATGGCATACCAAACTTCTGATGTTGCCCTTTGTTGAAGATATTTTTCAAGCTCTTATAAGTTAGTCAACAAGGATTTATTGATTCCCTTTTAAAGAAAACTGAGACAATCATTTAACTTTGCATTGGTTCCGAAAAGAGTACTTATGGAATCAAATATTCAAAAATAAATTTTACAAAATGGTCTAATGTGCAATTTTGAGAGAAATGAGGTGCTGACATTGAGGTTCCAGACGATCTCAAAGTGTTTCAGACCACAGGTATTGTGGTGGGCCACTGTCATTTCGAAGCTGATAGCGACTGTCTTTGTAGTGTTTCTGTTCTCGGTAGCTCCTTAAGGCCAGCACTATGCTGGCACCGTATAAAATCACAAGAAGACAAGCAAAGGTGGCTGCTGCTCCATCAGTGCCTGCCAGCTGGCAGTTCATCCAGGTGAGACCCCTGCGGGCATAGAGCCTCTCTCTTGTTTTGCAGGTGTCTGTGGAGTTGATCCTCAGAGCTACGTGGAGGTAGATGCCAATGCCTATGCAGTAGCCTACTGCCGCTAGGAGACTGAAGGCAGCCTCCATGAGGAGCCACTTCCCAGGCAGCTTTGTTAGACTCTTGGCTCCTTGGAGTAAAACGCCCATGGTGAGAACGCCCAGGCCCAGAGAAACGGCCACCCCACTGTATATCAGGGGTGACCGCAGGATCGTGTACTTCTGGTCTAGCTGCCGAACCTGCTCCAGCTCAGTGCCCTCAAATGGTGAGTAGTAGTTGTTCCCAAATCCACCGCCGCTGGTGATGCTGGCACTGAAACCAGCAAGGACAAAGTAGGAGGCCACGATACATATGAGAACCATCCCATTCAGTATCACCTCCAGGATCTGTACCACACCTAGGAGGAGAGAGACTTGGGATTTAACACTGACAGCATTCACCCCCCAGGAAAACCTGTTAAGTCAAATCAGTGAGAGACCAGGTGACTGGATTTTAAGGTCAGGATCAAATATTCACCTGTTTGAAAAGCCAAAAGGCCACTCTGGAAAGTTGTTTGGCAGATTCTTAAAAATAACGAACCAGAGACTTCCATGCAACTTGCAGCAACCATATGCTTAGGCATTAACCATAAAGACATGAACACTTAATTCCACGCAAAACTATGTATATGAATATAATGGTCATACAGCTTTATTTATAATAGCACCTATTAAGAGAACCAGTGTTATATCCAAGGAACCCTGATGGCTTATGTGGTTAAGTGCTTAATTGCTACCTGAACGGGGTGGTGGTTTGAACCCACCAGCTGCTCTGGGAAAAAAACTGGCAGTCTGCTTCCGTAAAGATTTACAACCTTGGAAACCCAATATGTCAGTTACTGTGTCACACAGCATCTCTATGATTAATAAACAACTCGAATGACAACAAGTTGGGTCATCCAGGCCATGATATACTACATGGCAATAAAAAGGAATGAGATATTTATGCTGTTAAATACCATGGAGTTGGTTCTGACTCATAGCAACCCTGCACAGGGTTTCCAAGGCTGTAAGCCTTTATGGGAACAGAAAGCCTCATCTTTCTCCTGCGGAACAGCTGCTAGTTTCGAACTGCCAACCTTGGGGTTAGCAGCCCGATTCGATTCGTAACCATTATTTATACTCACAGGGAAATATGCTGTGGGGGTGGGGAGTGGCCTCAAAGGATGCACGTCAGTAGTTGCCTGTGGTTAGCAATGGTTGGAGGTGGGGGAAGGGGTAAGGGATGGGTGTGACTGAAGGATGGCACAAGGGACACTTGTAGTGATGGACGACTCTTGGTGTGGTGCTGTAGGATCAGCACTGGACTCTGAACCACAAGGTTGGTAGTTCAAACCCACCAACTGCTCCTTAGAAACTCTATACAAGGTCTCTAGGAGTCTGAACAGACTCAAAGGCATTTAAAAACAACAATACTATACTGTTATGCAGCTTGTTTTTTCCACTTAATACGAGGGGCTGGGACTCTTAGTTTGTGAGAAAATGGAATAGAAAGATAATGGCATTTTTCCTCGAACTCTTTAAAGCCTTCCAAGGAGTTTCAAATCGGTTCCTTAAAAAGGTTCCACCTCATTTCTTAGAAAACATCCACAGTCTTTGTTTGTGATGCAGACTCCACCTCCAAGGTGTGCAGGAACCAGTGTATTCAGCCAGAGTCCTACTGAGGCACTCTCAAGAGCTTCTTACAAGCTTTAAGGAATTTGCCTTGAGGCAATGGGAGGCAGCTGGTGAACTTAAGAGTGTCCTTGTTCAAGGTCAGCTTTCATTTGTTACTGACTGAAGCCCCAGACTCTAAGATGTACTGCTGGGTAAAGAGCTGTCATTCTTTCAGGATTCCAAGATGAGAAGAGAAAAGCATGAATACTGAACACCAGGGTCAAGTCCTTGCTTGTTATGGCCATGTGACCCACCCCAAATCATTCAATCATTCTAAGCCATAGATACATTGACAAGTGGAGATCATGCCTGCCTGTTTTATCTCTCAGGGTTATGGTGAATCTCAAATAAAAGTACAGCTCTCTTCTGCTGAGGACCTGGAACTCTGTCATTGAAGCAGCATATGATCAAAACCTAAAAGTGTTCACAGAAGTCCAAATTGCACTGAAGAAATGGGTGAAAAATAAGGTTCCAGGAATTGATGAAATACCAGTTAAGAAATTTCAACAAATGGATGCAATACTGTAAGTGCCTACATATCTATGCTAAGAAATCTGGAAGATAGCTACCCGGTCAGCTGACTGGAAGAGATCCACATCTGTGCCCATTCCAAAGAAAAGTGTTGCAAGAGAAAGCAGAAATTATTAAGCACTGTCATCGATATCGCATGGTGGTTATTGGTCCAGTGGTGAGGATTTTTGTTTTCTTTACATTGAGGTGCAAGCCATACCAAAGGCTGTGGTCTTTGATCTTCATCAGAAATGAGAAGGGAATCAAACTACTACACTACAAAAATCAATTAAACACAGAAGAAGGCAATAATGGAGAAAATGAAGAACACAGAAAGTATAAAACATACAAAAAACAATGAGCTGGTGGAAAAGGAGCCCTGCTTATAAATCCGAGAGGTTGATGACCGCAGTGAGTTGTACCTGTAGGCATGACTGAGAAGAGGCTATCCTGACTGAAGAACTGTGTCCTGAGCATTTGTGATCCTGAACTGCAACCTGTTAACTTCCTCAATAAACCACATAATCATTAAAAAAAACCCGACTTTTTTTTAAGTACATGGAAATGCTTTGAAAATCACAGACTGTTATAAAATTGGATGGTGGTAATACTCTCTAACATTAATAAAAGGGGAGGGAAGAATTTATGAAGAAAAGTGTGGTTCCCATAAACCAGCAATATCCTCTACTTACTACACTTGGGTCATACCCATCCCCACAATGCTCATAAACTGAGCAGTTAAAGATCACTATTGACAAGTGAAGACCGTGCCTGCCTGTCTTAGCCCTCAGGGTGTGGTGAGTCTCAAATAAAAGTGCATTGTCTTTCTGGGGTCGATCCTGTCAAAACTGTGGAGTCACCTGCTAGACTGAACTGTAATCTAGACCTTGTCAATGATACATTGACTCCATTTTTCAGAGAAGAGGTCTGCCAGGTCTGATGATACTGGGTATTCTGAAGGTAATACAGCCAATGAACGTTATCACTGGTACCTACCAAGCCTGACCTGGTTTAGCTATCAATATCAGGCTCAAGTAGTTCCAAGCATCAACTGGATAGCATCCAACAACATTTATTCTTTTAGATGTGATGAATTGCTTAAGAAGAGAAAAGAGAGACCTGGTGCTCTACTTTTGAGCAGTCAGCTATTTTTCTATCTGACACGTGGGTCACCATGAATCAGAACAACTGGCTCTCAAAGGTTATTTCTACAAAGGATCGGACCGCCCTCAGAAAGACAGCAAAAGGCTCTGTAGAGGAAAGTGGTGGTTGAGACAGAAATGAAATTTGTCTTGTCAACAGCTTCCCTCTGATGAGGGCTTAACCACTACCTTGGTGACTGGTCACTTAATAGTCCACTGAATTTATGCATCGACTGGCCTTGGCATTGTAAATGTGATCCTGAGAAAACTGAGGCGATCAAATTAAACTTTTTTTTTTATATATAAGTGTCATACATGTGCAGTCAAGCCATTTATAAAACAAAAAAATAAAAATTCATTCTCTTCATAAGCGAATACTAATAATACTTTCTTATGTTTTCTCTAAGAAGTCCTGGTGGCATAATGGCTAGCACTCAGCTACTGACAAATCAGTGGTTCGAGCCTGGCCAGTGGCTCTACAGGAGACAGATGTTCCACTTCCATAATAATTATCACCCAGAATACTCTGAGGGCCGGTTCTACTTTATCCTGTAACGTCAACATGTGTCAGAAGCAGCTGGATAGCATCCAACAACATTGATTCTTGGAGAACTTTTCTATTCACATACAAGCATATGTTTACATATTTCCTTTTCTAAATCCAAATGGAACTCACCTTTTAGATGTGATGAATTGCTTATAAAGGAATCATAATAAAACACTGTAAAGAGAGCCTTCGCCTCCAAATGAAAAATTTTCTTAGGATTTTTTAATTGGATTCACATAAAACAAAGAACATATTTATTTTTTCCCAAGAATATACTTTAATGTTTCATCAGCCACAATTTATTGTACAATGAGATGCTGTGAGATCGTCTAGCCAAAAGTAACAGACTGTCCCCTTGGGAAAGAGTTTCAATTCTTTTGTTCTGGATGAATCCTGAATTCCAGATACTGGCTTTAATTCTTTGTACAATGGTACATTTATAAGAGATACAAAACATTTATTGAGCTCTCAAGGCAATTGTAAGGGGTCTGTAGAATAGCTCCTTTGCAACCCAGTGAATTAATCTTGATTTTTCTTTCCTTGGCCCACGCCTACCTCTAATTAAAATTTTATAGGAACATTGTCCCCGGAAACTCTCTCCACCTCCAGCCAGAGCTTTAGGAAAGTGGACGAAGTGAAGAGTTCTGCCTGGAAAAACATTATGGGCTCATCTTCTTTTTTTTTTCTTTTCCAAGTTTCAGATATTTATTGTTTAGTGTAAATCCCAACACAATACATCAACATGATTTTGTGCATTTAGGGAAGGAAGATACCCTGATGAAGTGGGAAATGGTACGGATAGCTTCTGGAAGACTGTCACTGTAGGCAGCTGTAAGGGAAACATGTCATTTAGGAGTCAGGGCCTTCTTTCTTCAATTTGCTGTAATCCACAGTCACTGAGTAGAACTTGTTTTGATCATTGGGACCCAGTTTGTTCCATGGTTCTGGGTTATTCTTTCTGTCTCAACTAACATCTGAATTAAACAGTGCCAGATGCATGACATACAGTGTTGCTCCTGTATCTACAGCTCCAGTAAATATGAAGCGAGTGTATTTGTGGAGGAGGCCTGGAGTCCGGAAGGAGAAAACAAAGTGGGCAGGTCCAGAACCTAGGACTCTCTGCTCCGTGTTTATGTTTGCGTCCAAAGTCATCCGGAGCCTCCTACCTCTGGGCTTATCCTCTTAAGAAAAAAAGCTGTGTTTAGAGAAATTTAGGTCAAAATATTGTCTCATGTTTATGTGGCTTTTCATAAACACTGAAGATAAGATTTTCTTAGTTATTCACTTGGTTATTTCCCTTTGTTTAATCACTAAGTCCACTTTTCCCTGTGGGTCTTAGTCTCAGAGAAGACCAGAAAGCAGAATGCTACTGTGTGCAACCGGGAGTTACTCCCACCATTCCTCAGTTGACTTGTTAGTTTTCAAACGTTGGCAAGATCCACAATGAAGGCCCTCCGTGAAAGAAAGTAACTCAGAGCCACTTCCATTAGCAAAACATTTTTCA